GAGTCCATGCTGGCAACAGGAAGTGCAGCCTGTGACCCGAAACATTGGTTGGACACCAGGCGGTGCCGCGTTAGCTCAGCATGAACTAGCTTCAGTTCAATGAGCTGGCCCAGCTTACGAAGTCAGGAATCTTGTCGTTTGTGCGTCGACACGTGGATCCCACATGAAACGTCGGGACCGATGTGAAAAAGTGGATCAAGCTCAACCTGTGCTACCGGTGCGAAACAAGGCTTTGACCTGGATCGCTGTTGGTGGATCACATCCTTGAAATTCTTGAGATCTGTTTGCCCCAAACCGCCACCGCGCAAATTCTGACTTGGTTATGGCAGGCTGCAATCCTAACTGCGACCAGGAAATTACGGTCTGCAATTTGGCGCGGGCTTGATCATCACGTCGGCGTGTGTCGGATTGGGCATCTGGTCACGATGTGTGCACAGGCACCCGTCACAATCTTAAAACCGATCAGCTCCGATAGCCCCGTTAAGGAGGCGAACTGGAAATCCAAAAGCTGCTGCCCTTTGTGGTAGCAGTTCTTTTTCTTCACCAGAAAGACCTTTTGTGGTGGTTGTCGCCTTTTTGAAGCTTTGAACCAACTCGCTTTCGAATTTCGGGCTGAAATGCCAACCCTGAATCTACTTTGACGTGGACTGGGGAATAGCAGACACCGGAGCTTGAGTGCCCAGTATCTTCGTAATCTTTTATTTTGGGGTCAAAGCCTTCTGCAGCAAACTCTGATCTTTGGGATCCGATTTCGGTTTCGGGTCTCAAGCAGCAGATTTCAACAACAATAGGAAGCGGTTTTGAGCAGGCGTTGCCGCTTGAGGCAATCCATGCTTCCCGCTCGCAGAAGACAGCCGATGCATTGGACGGATCCAATTGTGCCGCCTGTGCCAACTGCCACTCTAACTCGCGGATTGGATCTTGAGCATCGGTGAGCTCTTGTTTTTGAAACTGTTTAAATTGCTGGAATAGGCATGCTTAATTTTGGAGCTTCTCTGCTGGAACTCGGCAGTCGCTGTATCCACAGAAACGGCATGCTGCTGTTGACAACGTACATCTGTCATGTGATCCAGGTCGACTTTGTCTTCCGCGGAAGTGTGCATAAGGAGAGGAATAGACGTTGCTTTTCCGATGGAACGAGCAATAATGATGCTGACATATCGTCCCTGAGCGAGGGCTCGGAGAGCGAAATTGTCGCTGTGGTGCTGCTGAGCCCAACTTGAAGGTTGTATCTGCCCAGGAAACTGCCGATCATACACTTGGTTCGCATCATCAACGTCTTGCGAGTGTCTAGTTCGTATTTATTGGAGAAACCCTGTGGGTTTCCAAACTCACGGGAGTTAGTCCAGTGCGGCGGCGTGGCGGGAGCAGTAACGGATTGCTGGCTGAACGTTTCATGTCGTGATGCATCCCATTCATCATGAGTGCGAGAACATGTTGAACAGAATATTGGCTTCAAAATCTATGCCGTCACATTGGAACATAGTGCAATCAAGCGACTATGCCCGGCCCTTTGACTTGAGAGAATGCCGATCGAGAACACGGTTGGAAACTCCTTTTCAGGAGCAGCTAGGATTTTGGTGACGAACTTCATCTCAAAGCTGCAAGTACACTGGCATGATCAGTCCCAATATGAGGTCGCCATAAAGAACTTCGTTGGGCAGAGCTCTATGGGCCTCCTCTGCCCCCCTGACTTAAAACTTCGTGCAGCAGCCCGGACGGCTACGGATCACTTTGCTATCAGGGTTTGACACAGACACACACACACACACACGCGTCTTTATGTATTCGCATGGAGTTAGACTGCCGCCCAGAAATGCATGGTAGGCCCGCCGTCTCCAGATCTGCGGCTTGTGGATCCCCATCACGAGAAAGGATGATGATTTCCTGGAAATGTCTTGAAAGCACCTACCGCACTAAAGAGCGCTGCTTGGAGAGCTTTCCAGCCAGACCACTTTAGCAACACGCGGTTCCCCCTCAGGTGATTCCACATGACAACTGCCTGCGCACCCTGTCCTGAGCACGGACAGCACCAGCTCTGTCCAAGGCATCCGTGTCGTGAGCGATGCCCTGCCGGATCTTCAAAGAGCTCAACATCCGCCAGCGCCTGCGGTACCCGAGAGCATGAATCGAAAGCCTTGTTAGGATATCCACTCTGCATCATTTTACACCCCTACATGGCCCTACATGTTCGAAGCGGACTTCTTGATCTTGCCTCGGCCCCCTATTGGCGTGATCGCAACCGGACTCTCGAACGACCGGACAAACACAACAGCAGCAGCAAGGAACAGAGTAAGCAGAAAGAAAAAAATGCAAAACAAAAAAGATTGGCAAAGACCGTGACCGTAGACTGTCAAGCATCTGACCCTGGCTTTGTCAACTGACAGATCCAGAGCTGGCATCTTCCAGCTCCAGTACAAGATGGTCTAAACTCCGCCAAGCTTGCATACAACAAACTCATCGCCGAGCTGACATATGCCAAAGCTTTGTGCTGCCGAACCAGGAACACTGCTGTGCCCTTGGCTGCTACAAGGATACAAGTGCCAGCAACGACCATGGCCTGTGCAACAGCAGTACCGACGAAAACACCGTTCTTATCGGTACCCCTCTCACTCTTGCTGACTCCGGAATTCAAGCCCTTCTTCCAATTCAACTGAAGGACGAGATCACACTGTACGAAGAGAAACTCCTTGGTATCCGGTGGAGGCACTTGTCTCCAGTGGAGTTCCGCCAGATTCTCATCCACATGTCATTCGCTTTCTCGCACGCATTGCGCTCTCAAGGCGATTATTGTGTTGTCTCGGATTTCATAACATGCTTATGAAATCCTTCTCGGAAGGCTAGGACTATCTATGTTCACTCGAATTCGATCGGATCCATCGGATGCAAACTAATCAAGCTTCATTGGGCCTGTCGAAGAAGCTCATGTGCTCCCAGAGCTGCAGGAAATATTGCTGTATCTCCTGATGCATCTCAGCAGGGTCTCGGTCAGCCAGCACGACGACGCGCTGATGTTGCCCGCTGGCATAGTAAGCTTCGAAGAGCTCGTGGATGAGGTACAGCGTCTTCTCGCTCCATCCCAAGACCAAGACATGCTGTCCAAACCACACTCGACTTTGGGTTCGCGTCCAGGTGTCCTTGGGCGTCCCAAGACTAGGCGGAGGTACATTTGCAAAAACCACCGTCACTGAGGCAAAAGCCATGGAAGAGCGAATCCACTCTACCTCACGCGAATTGAGCTCTACAGAGCTTCCGAATTCGTGTCCATCATGTGCTGGCTTCTTGGGAGCCCACGATAATGCCAAGGAATGTCCTGGTCGCATTTCAGCAACACAAGGGACCCTTGCAGACGCGGGCAAGTTGCCGCCAAGACTCAAGTTGTAGAGAAACCCAAGCACCGAAAACACCAGTGCAGCCAGCTTCACCTTGATGGGAGCATTGGCTGCCACGCCTCGAACAGTTGTCTCAACAGACACGTCGAGCTGATGCCGGCGAAGGTTCTCCCCAACCTGTCTGTGTGCCGGGGTCGAAGAAGAGGCCCCAAGACATCCACATGCTCTCTTCCCAGGATGGACCCGCATTGGGATCACCACCCACAGACGACCACACAGCCTCAGGAAGGGCTGCCGTGCCGGATCCATACGTCTCCACCAATTAGTCAAGCCAAGTTGCTGTGCCAGACAGAATCAACACAACAGCCCCTACCTAAGACGAGCAGCAAAAACGCAGGCCAGCATGCTTCTCTGAGCAAGTCTGAGGATTGGGCAACCAGTGAGACAAGCTGCCCATGAGGATCACCCTGCAGCCAATCTTGCCTCAACCCACAACAATGGGCAAACATCTTTGCACAGGGAGAGATGCAACTGATAAGGGGCCGGCCATCTTCGAAAACCCAGCCAAGTTTCCAACGCTTCTGCAAGAAAACACACTCCAAGACTGTAAATCTATTGGTGTGTCTGGCCATTCCTGTCTTGGCTGCCTCGGCAGCAGGAGCAGCAGGTCCTCCTGCGACGCCAAAATGTACGTGATCGGCCTGACAGCTTTTCAAATCCGCCGCAGTTTGGCCAGAAAGGCAATGTCTGTCTACTCCCTGTGCCTCCTCTCAGACGCTCATCCTTGGAAGGAGACTTCCGCTGCAAATGCATCGTTGTGAACAAGAAAGCCAAGAGCGGGTCTCCGAGACTCTGGGAAAGACTTTGGGTGCCCCATGCCTGCTGAGCCATGCCTCAGTCACCGCGATACCCTGATCGAATCAGCTGTGGTGTGTGAAATCTCAGTGTTGCTCCCCTCTGTGACCCAAAGTTGGAAGATAGCTGAGCGCCGGACGGGCTCACGACATGGAGATGGTCTAGTCTATGACAGTATGCACATTGCCTCCCTTGTACTTGCTCCGAAGTTGCCTCAAATCGTACTTTCGTGCTGAGGGGTGGTCTGTATCCTATGTTTCTGAGCTGCAACGAGCCTGCATCCCTAAGCCGGACAGCAGCAAACAAAAATCGTGTTAACGGGATCAAGGCCGAAACCCGGAACTCTGAAAGGAGCTAGCCAACCTTGAATGGTGTGGCTCCCACACCCTGAGCCCAAACGGAAGCGATCATCAGTTGGCTGCTGGCTCTCAGCCCAAGAACTACCCGACCCAAAGCTCTTGGAAGTGGCTCCCATAAACCCGAAGATCAAGCGGGGATGACCACCCCAAACCTGTAAGACATGGCCGCATGGCAGGGGAGATGACTAGCGGACACTGCAAACATGGCAAACACTACACCAAGGAGTGATGCACATCATGGAAAACCGGAATCTGAGCGAGAGCAGGGCCAGGGCGAGCCGTTTGCGACAGCCCAGAATGCATCAGATAGCAAGAGTGAGACGCCTGTCAATTCACTTTGCTTGACGGCAATACTCACCGGTTACATGCACTCCGGGGGCCTACGCGCACGAAACAGGATGAAACCCAAACCCAGCTCATCGCGAAGCATACCGGAGCTCGAAGCACAAAGGCATCACACAACGGCGCTTCTTGAACTGCTGCACGCTCGCCTCCATGCAAACTGCCGGTGCAAAATTGCTGGAGCGGAGCTTGCACTTTCCCAAGCTGCTGGCAACTGAGACGGCATGGTGGTAAGCCATGGCCGACAATACACCTCCAAGTGCTCCCTCCGGCACTTCAAAGGCTTTGACACCGCTCAAAACTGCGGAGGCCGGGCCCTTGAGATCGAACCCGGAGGACCAACTTCCGGAGGATGTAAAGACCTTCCATCACTTGGCGAAGATGACCCTCGCGTCTTGAAAGTGAAGGCGAAGCGTGGGCCTGGTGCTGCTGTGAAGGCTGCCTTCAAGAAACGAATTTCCAGACAAATCGTGGCTCATTGCTGCAACGTACGGATAAAGGGCAGTGACTGAGAGCCCAGTTGTGGTGACACTGAGTACTCCGACTTGAAGAGTAAACGGCATCTCTCCCCCACCCTCTCGTGCGTGTGGAGCCCCCTCCACCACTGGCCCACTCGTGCACAATTCGACTAATCCGACGAAGGCGGCCATGGCTGTCTCCTGTGTCCACAATTAAGTTTTCGGGTCGCAAGCTCCGGTTCGCTCTTGCTGTATCCACGTTCCCGACATATCGGAACCACACATGTCGATAAATACCAAGCTGCTCTTCATGCGAGAGTGTCGGTGTTCGAATTCCCTCCCACTTCGAGATGCTGGGCCGTGAAACTTGTACCTTCTCAATGCGAGATTGTAACGTCAAAAGCAGGCCCTCTCAATATGTCTCCTGTGACATGTTACAACAGCTTAACATTTGATGGAACAAATTGGCGAGTGGTGTCTTTTACATTCAGGAACTCAGATTCTTCTTAACACTAGCCCGTGAACACCAGCAATCACTTGTGTAAGCTAGCATCACAACAACAAGACTTGGACAAATGCCTCAGAACTGACTCATGCTGTGCTTGTCGCAACGTTCGTATGCAGTATGTTCAGATGTACATAGGCCTGATCGTTGCCGTTGTAGCAGACTGTGTCTCGCCTGTCTCACTGACAAGCGTCGCTCGGCCGCAGATTCATGCAGGCAATTTCTTGCGCACTAAGGACGCGACGTGCAAGCACTGCGTTGAGCTCGATCTCCGCCTTGGAGTCAGTCTGCAAGCAGCAAGGTGCATAAGTCTTGTCGTGGCGAGCAAGTAACGCTGGACAGATACACGGCATAAACTTGCTCGCTGCCAGGCCTCTCAGACTGCAAGCTTTGAGCCTGCCACGGAAGTGGAGAAACCTCACAGCTAAGAGCTCCAGCTGCCAAGAACGTCTCCTCTTGCAGTCGCTCAGCTCCGCACCTGCCGAGCCTGCCGCGCCGGCGCGAAGTGACTGAAGGCCGGCACTGGCCTTCAGAAGCGATCAGTGTGGCCAAGTGGCCAAGGCCAAGGATGGGATCCCACCGCCTTGGAGTGATGGTCCGTGCGATCGGCACCTGCAAGACGGCTCTGCTGCAGCCAGGATCAAAACCCACCAAGCAAGGAAGAGCATGTCACTGTCAGGATGGCTGCCTGCATCACGGCCACCCCTTGACCTTCCACTGCACTGTCCGTCATGTGGCGCCCCAAGGATGGTTAACGCACTTCAAGCGACCGCCTTGCAACACTCCCCGAGCCGAAAAGCAGCGCTCCGCACCTGACTGAGGACTGCGGCTCGCCGGTCCGGTGTGCCAAAGGCATAGTCAATCGCAGCGAGATCCGGGCTCGGCTGTCGAAGGGCACGAGGCCTCGGCTCCGTGCAGCTTCTAAGGCGGCGGTTAGGGGTTCTTTCGCGACCCTCACTGGCCCCCTCCCGGATCGGTGGCCTTCGCTCAGGGGTGCCCGGCCTGAGGTCCCACCGACTGCAGCGCTTCCGTGCCAAATGACCCGATCGAGGTGCTGACAAGAGCACCTCAGCCTCCTCCCTTTTCAAGGGCCTGGAAGAGCTCAGCGCATCGCGGACCTCTTCAAAACAACTTGACAGGAAAAGCATGCTTGCTTGACAGCGATTCCCAAACATGTGCGCACTCGGCCCTGCGCAGTCTCCTGGCGTGCAACGTCCTCCTGACCCCTGACATGCAAAAGGTCGCACAGAGTTTCATACAGATCTTTACAGGACACTGTTGCCACAATTCAATGCGCACAATCTTTGCAACACTTGCCTTGAACAATGCTGAAACCTTTCCGTGACTATGTATGTGGTTGATTCAAACTCTTGGTTGAATCGTCCAAACACACGCTTGGCTCTGCCAATGCGGTTGAGACGATGAAAAGCACCGAAAGCAATTGGCTCGCCGGTGCACGCGCACCTGATGCAGTTATTACAAGGCGCGCTCCACCAGCAGCTCGGCTCTGCAAAGGCAAGAGATGGAGCTCACTGTGTTCAGGCGATCTTGGCCATCTTGAAGAACTCTTCCTTGGAATTGATTCCGACAGCCTGCGGTGCTCGCGTTTCCCCAATGTTTGCACCGGCCATCTTGCCATCAGTCAGGAAGCTTTTGCCGAGGTGCTCTTGGGCGAAGGTAATCACCTGCCAATTGCAAGTTAAGGGGCCTCGTCAACTTACTGATTGTTGGCTTACAAGCCCGAGGTCAACAAAAATCCTCGACCCTCGACAGAGCTATCCGGCCGTCGAATTATCCGAACGTCCCCCGTCAGCTTACCTTCCGTAGCTCTCGCAAAACCCAGCGTGACCGCAGTGTTATAACTTCACCAGAGAACGTTGTGGCATAGGCGCCTTGTCCATGGTGGGCGTTGGCACTTCCAGGAGCTCGGCGAGTCCTCGGGTGAAGCACAGACCTGTCGGGACATCCTCAGCGAGGTATCGGTACTTCAAGTCAGGCATGAAGCCACCATCCACTTCCTTCATGGGATGCGTAAGGCCAGTGTAGGCACTGTTCGTGTTCATGGACAACTTGAGCGTGGAGTCATCCGCCATCTGCCCTTTGTAGGAGTCCAAGTACCATTGATGCAATGTGCACGCATCCTTCAAGTCGAAACCTGAAACCAAGGACTCCACCTTACGGCACACTGCCTGCACTTCGTCAGAAAGCCCCAGAAGGACGCCCTCTGTGAAGTCATCAACGCCCTGATAGAACAAAGGCTTCTCGGACAGCTTCTGACCATCCCACTTCTCAGAACACCAGCGGCCATACATGACTCCTGCAGGGCGGTGCGAGAAGCAAATGACGAGTGACCAGCACATGCAATTGAAGCCTAAATCACTCGTGCTCCGGATGTCCCGCCTGGATGAATGACTTGTCCCGGGTTGCGCAAGCTGATGCCCAAGTTGTTGGGGCTCTTCAGCACCTCCGGAAAGACGCCCAACAGCCCCTGGAGGGTTGCGATGGCGTGGGAGGACTTACTCTCCGGCGTGACAGCAGCCAGAATCTGGCCCTTGGTGCCGAGGATCGTGGCCCTTTTGCCCCACTCGGTGAAGCGACATGCCCATGGCAGCGTCTCGAAGCCAACGAACGCCAAACTATCAGCCTTCTCCTTCATCTTTGATGCAAAAAGAATATCACCTCCTGACCGGGCTGGCATGCATGCGACGATTGTGCCAGGCTTGATATACGGGTAGAAGGCTTCAAAGTATTGCCCATGTGCGAAAGAGGGAACCGCCAAGATGATAACATCAGCCTTGGCAGAAATGCTGGGATCGTTGGTCATGTCTGCTGGCATAGACACCACTTTCTTTCCTGTATCCAATGTGAGCTCCATACCTTCAACCTTGTCATGCCACCGGCCCTTCATGGCTTGCTTCCAGTTGGCGGCTTCGTCTGCATACAAGGAGATGGCGTACGTTTCGTACCGAGCCGCGAACATTGAAGTTGCCACCTGTGCCGCATTTCCACCTCCGCACACAAGAACTGTGAGACCGTTCTTCTTCTCGTCTGCCATGGCTTGCGAGGTTGTTGCTCTGGCTCACAGAAGCAGGTCGAAAATGCGGGGCGTGGGGAAAGCCGCCTGAACACTCGCAACGAGCACCTTGTCTCCCTATAAAGTTCAATCAACAAGTTATCATGATCAGAGCAAAACCGGCACCTGCCTTGAAGATCGAAGGCCATCAGCCTCACAACAGATTTGTCAATCACATGTCGTGTCCCTCTTGCTCCACAGCTGCTCCACAGGCACCCGGCACTTGGGAGCCGAATGAGTTGAAGCGGATCTTCGTAGCTCACCCAATAGACCTGCTCTGCCGGGAAAAGGAATCCTTGACTCTTATGGCAGGGCAGCTTCTCGAAGGCATTCTGCAAAGCCCCGACGAGAACATCCTTGGGGCCGAAAACGTGGGCGCTGGCCAAACGCACGGCTGTCCCTGACCGCGCACTTCGCTTCCCTTGTCGTTGCGCCTAGTTGCACGCATGCAGCTGAGCATGTCGTGACGTCGCGACAACCCGTGTGGATCTTTGTGCGCGGTGTGGGGCAGAGGTGTGTGTACGAATGCAGAACAGCGTGGAGTTGAATGAAGTTGAAGATTTACGGTCACTTCTGGGCAGAGACCTATCGAGCCACAAACCTCGTGAAGGAGGGGGCGATCGGAATAACCCGCGCTGGTGACTTGCAAGACATATTCTAACTCAGCAGACTATTTGCCTAGAAAGTGGATTACCGAAATGCCGTTTACCGAAAGAACAAAAGCAAAACTCTCCACCTCCGAGCCATACTGATTGCATGCGAGTGTCGACCGTCAGACTAGAGCTGACTCACTCGAGCCAGCCATCAGTGTGTTTCAGATTGAGGCGAGCGGAGGTATGATGATGCAAGCCCGACAGAGAGCAGGCACGACCAGAAACCAAAATTGTGAAAACAAGACGGGTCTCGGTTGCGCATGTCCAGCAATCTTGGCTTCTGACTTTAACTGAGACTTTGCAAGCAAATCTTCCAGCACAACCAGCCTTGTCTGCAGCTCTTACATAAGAGCCCTTCGAAGCTGTGCTCGGACCGTTGTCCAACCTGCCGATTCTCGGCATCTCACCAAGATTGCATCGAAAATCGTCTCTGCCAAGGGGAGTGCTGCCCAGCGATGCTTAGCTTCGAGGCATCCTCCTGGTGCAAGCTGAAACCACGCTTGGCTTGGAGCCAAAGAGCCGTGCCTCCGGAGCCTCCCCTGCGTCCGCTGCGATGGTTTCCGAGTGGTCGCCACTCGGCTCAAGGGCCTCCACAGCAAGCAGAATTCCTCGAACGAGTGGCGGCTTGGGTCTTTCCAGCCTCAGATTCAGCGCCATTAGCAGGCGGCTGCTGCTGCTGCTGGGAGTGCTGCACTTCGGCATGCGGCTGGACTTCAAGCTGCTGAAGCTGCTCGCTCGCTGCTGCGTCCTCCGGCGAGATGACCTCCTGTCGTGACAGCTGTTGGGATGGAACGTGTCGTCATCAACCTCTATCTGTGCAAGTTGGTCCGCAAGTCCCTGCAAGACCCTGATCGTGCGATTCGCCGCATGTTGAGCTACTGGAGAAGACTTGGCTTCAAAATTGACCTGCACTTTCTGTCACCCAATGCTTCTTACACCTGCTACCTCGAAGCTGAAGATCAAAACGAGTGGGAAGTCTGGACAAGTGGCAATTCGGAGAATGATAAGAGTTAGAGCGCCATGCGGGAGCCAGGGAATCAACTACTGAGTATTGATGGAACCCAGAAGCGAGACAGAACGGAGCCTCCTGCGAAGTCTGTGCATCTTTCTTTTCACATCGAACGAACCTCGCGGCGGATCTCGAGAACTGCGCAACATGCCAAGACCCCGGTGCACACCTGCTGTTCCGCTCCAGTCGCAGACAGTCCTCAGCGACAACAGCTGAAAGACAAGAAAAACCGATCAGGCTGATGTACGCTTGCTGGTGTGGCAAGCCCTTTACGCCTTTTGATCCCTTATTCTTCTTCTGCTTGTGCCTTCTTTACGGCAGCAGTCTTCTGCAAGCAATTGAGCATAGACATGATATTACTTCTTGTGCCCGACTCCTCGCTCTCGCTCTATACGCATAGTATAGGCGTACACATAGTATGTACATATGTCAGATACATATTTATATATGTATATATAATATACATAAAAGGCAAATCTAGTGGCTGCTCCAGTCTATGGTCGGGAGATCATGCGGAACGAGATTGGCGTCTGCAGTTTGAAGCCTAGTACTTTGTATTCCTTCGCGTTAAGCCGCCTTTCTTAGCCTTGGCTTTTGCAGTCTTGGACCCTGCCAATCCCGATACAGTGAATGAACCCTGGACGCTCTAGACGCTCTAGCCGAGGCCTAACCCTAAAATTTCATCAAATCTTAACAGATCCCGTTCCCTCCAGCCTGACCCGAAGACCGACGAGAGTCAGTGTGGCTTCCAGCCGACCCAACACAATTATTACGCACATTGAACCTGCTCCCGGCTTCTTCCTAAGCTTGGTATCTCTGGGTACACTGCAGCAGTGAGTTGTCAACAATGCAAACATCGTGAGCAACGTCTGTATGGTGCTGTTGCGGGCCGAGCACCCACTGGGTGCAGTTTCTGCTAACACGTTGCAGCAGAAATCCAAGAAGCCTTCGAGACCCCTGCACAGCTACTACTGAGCAACGCAAATTGAGTCTGGCACCCGCAGATGACTGATTTCATCTTTGGCCTTCTGCAGTTCACACCTGCCCATGGACAAGACTTGCAGCAGAGCGGCGAAAAAGTAAGAGCAGCGCCAGTCAACCATGTGTCTTTGAGGAAAATTGATGTTGCACATGTGCACAACAAAAGAACCTCAAGTCGGTCGATGCTTTTGTCTGGCAAAGGCCAGGAGAACAAAACGGTTGAGATGCACGCGGGCGGCTGTGAAAAGACTCAGCGACGACTGGCTTCTTCCGGGAGTTTGGTGACTCGCACCGACATGAAGGACCAATGATTGCGCCTCAAGCTCGCGGAGGTGCGCTGTTCGGCTTGTAGAGCCTCGGTTCTTTATGCAAAAGCAGAGCTAGGAGGAGGAGACGGAGCTCGAGAGCCTGGAACAAGTCGCTGATGCTCCAGCTGATGCCCCAGTCTCCTCCAACTGGAGGAACCGATCCATCCTTGCCTGCGATTTACAATTTGTGGCCTGTCTTTTGACTGTCGGCTTGCTGCACTGCCTGCTGGGCCGTAGCCATGCGGAAAGATCATGCTGTGCGATTCACCCGGAAACACTCACAAGACATGGTTCAGGGGATCTGACATAAATGACCCTTCTCAAAATGGACCACTTCGAGGCTTAAGTCATGAGTCTGCAAAAGTTCTGGCACATCAGGAAAGATCGTTTCGAACGTGCTTTCTCTGCAACGCCGGCCGCCTATTAAGAGAAGGTGTGGCACGATGGCTAGTGGCTAGCGAGCTCGAGCCATCAAAGCAGCTTGGGGTCGCGTGGCATGGCATCTCAAGAGTTCGTCGCACTGGCAATCTGGGACCAGTTGCAAAAGACACATTTGATCCAAGCGCGCAGGCCGTCTTCAACTCGGCGTGAACGGGGTGCCCAAGAGCTGACCTTGGTTGTCTTGCACTGCAAACCGGAAGCCCGGAAGCTCTGCACTTGGGCTGACTTCAGATGCAGGCTCATTGCGTGAGAGATCTTGATGTTGATCTGGGCGAAGTTCTGGTCGGTTGCCAAGTTCCTGGTTCATGCAGTCAGTACCAGCCCAGGAAGAAGACTGACAACTGCAAATAAAGCTCAGCACACTGTGTTTCCGACGCATGGTACATTAGCACGGCGCTTTCAACATCCTGCGGAGCATGTCCAAAAGTGCTGTGCAGCTCCATCAGAGGCAGCAGAACCTCTGACGTCAAGCCGAACTGGGTCTCAAACTTGGAGCCGATAATCGCCTAACTGACATTTGCAGTCGGGGCAGCAGACCGCCCCAAAACAGCAGATCTTTCGGCATTGGATGCCATTTGCAACCGCCTGCGCGGCAATTGTCACGGTCTTGGTGTCAAAGGCCTGCCGAGCTGCCCCGTAAAGCTTGCGTAAGTTTCTCGTCGATTCTGGCAATGCCGACTGTCAGCTCCGGCTGGGTGGATGAGAATGAAGAGACGAGATAGCAAAGGATACCGGACCACAGAGCAGGCCTCCTTGCTGTCGGATCCGGAATACTCCTTAATGAGCTGCTGAAGCTCCTGATTCCACAAGCCAGATGTCCCTGCGACCCGACAGAAGCGAGCCGCAGCACATGTCCTGGAGCATGAAGGTGTGGATATCAATAATGTCTTTCACGCTGATGGACTGGTATTGGAGAGCCAGAAGGCAAGAGTTCGCATGCGAAACGACGGCACGACGGCCTGAATCTTGTCGGACACGGCGTTTGTCGGATTTGGCCTTGGCCATTTGCAGAAATCAAGACTAAGACTGTCAACACTACCAAAGCTGCTGGAAGACCGAAACTCGCAACGTGCATGCCGAAGCAACCTGAGCCCCTTGCGCACCCATGATTTTGGCAATGGCATCACCTTGCTGTGGCTCGTGTGGAACATTGCTGGTGCTTCTTGGCAAAACTTGCTTGAATGCTTGTGTGGGACTCTGGCGCACATCACTGTCATGCTGATGCTTCAACAAAAGTTTGTCGAAGTCCATGACTTTCCTCAGTGGAGCGATGATGAAAAGCTCTGTTTTGGGGGAGTTGCAACGTCAGCTTCCGGCAGACCACGACTCTCCAGGGGATCTGCTGGCCTTGTCAAACATGCAGCGCACGATGTCTTCCGAGATGCCAGGACATCTCTCTATCGAGGAACGGGTCAATCTCATCTGAGCGCGCAGCTGCACTTGCTTCACTCGCTGACAAGTTTCATGGAAGCTTAAAGCTGTCGTGCCGAGCTCCTTTGTGCAGCATACCAGTGATTCAGTATGTATATGCAGCGCATGTGTGCATGCAAATGCTCGTGCATATAGCCACACATCGTATCCAAACAGTCAGTAGCGGCAGTAGCGAGACCAGTGACTTGCGTTGATAGCAAATAGAAAACTTGCCTAGCATTTAACCGGTCATTTGTTGTTCCCTGCTGGTTCGTTGCCATATGTGTTACTAGAGTGTGTTGAATCGCACGTTCTTCTTCATTTCAAGGATATTCGCATTCTACTGCTACCATGGTTGCTACAGCTATCATGAATGTTTGCGCACGTGCAGGCAAATCTTCAGAGTTGCATCCGCTCAAACGAAGAGATGTGTGTGTGTGTGTCCACGCTGAATCTACGCGAAATGCTATCAATGCGAGATGATATACGACGCAGTGCGAGATGGTCACATATCCTCTACAATGAGATGCAATGTCAAGTGCTTGATGACTCTTGGCGGCAACAACCGACTCCCACTGGTGATGTCGCTCTGCGATAGGACACTTTGCGTATCAAACTCTTGCCCCCTTTCAAAAATAGCCTATGGCTCCTGTGTCAGCTCCTTGATGAAACTCTTCATTTGCTCCTGCCAGATACAGACCGACTGGACGAAGGTGAGGACATGTCCAAAGAAACACATTGGAGCTGGCACCTGACACTTGATCATGTCTTTCAAAATCTGCTTGAGCTGCTCTTTGGCCGTGCCCTGCGGGCATGAGCATTTCTGATAGAGGATCTTCAAGCAAGAAGTTCAATCCCAACCAAAGATCCTCAGTCTCGTCGTTGTCGTGTCTCTTCTGCTTGTCTTCCTGTCGATTCACAAGACGACCATGAACCAAATCAGCGACACCGCTCGATTCGACCAATAAGACACTGTGCACTGTGTGCGTTCCTCCCCGAAAACATCATCTGTGGCCAAGCTTTTGGACCCAACCTGTCAGCGCTTGAACGAAGGGCCAGCTTTTCAACACTGTGCTCGAGCCTTCCGGAGATACCAAACAGCGGCAGTTGCACACGCAGCAGTACCAGCAGCCAGAAATACTTTCCGCCATTCCATATCGATACAGTTGCTGACTTAGTCGTCGAAGCTAATGCGGATCGTTGCTTTGAAGAATCCCGATTTACCTGACCTTCTGCCATAAAGATCAATCAGTATGCACTGTGGTTTACAATGTTTACATTGGCTGTCGAAGGAGGTGGCACAGTTCGTGGAGTTTCGCAACTACAGGGTTGACAAGTCTGGAAGCTGCAATTCGTTCGTGTCCAAGCCCAGCACCTCAATGGCTTTGAGCATTCGACGGCACGTCCTTTCGTCACATCAGACTTTCAATGACAGCAGGCCTGACACCAACACAGTGACGACTAAAACGTTTCCTACAGCAACTGCATTTACCCAGTCGTTACCCACGATCCTAAACTTTAAACCTCTTTTCAGACTGTGACTGTTTAAGAACAGCTCATGCGATAAGATACATGGTCTGGTTTTCAAGGAAAACACGAGGCAACGCAATAACTTGGCAACGAAACCATGTCTGCGCTTTCCACAAACTGGCCTCACAGTCTCTTTGAAAGCCTTCAAGGTCTCCACTCTCTTAGCACGCCTTCCAACCCTGCGGTTTCTGCACGAGAATCTAAAGTAGTTTTACAGCAGAGGTAGACCCCGCAAGACTACACGTTTTCTCGTAGCGCTTGCAGAAGGAAGTCGGCCGTGCAAACTCTGTGAGCAGTGCCTTTGGTCAGTGAAAAAGACGGAATAGACTGCGGAAACCCTCCACATAAGAAATCTGAAGCAAAAAACTCAAGAAATAAACGAAGTACGTCCGGCAAGGAAATGCGAAGAGTTAAAATCATGCACTGAAGTGTTTACCATACCACGTCCAGTTGTCGAAGCACTAGCAGTAGTAGCAGCAGTTGCAGCGTGGTTGCACCAACTAGGACACGACATGCCTGAAATCCTCGCTTGCACAGCAACCGGCAAAGCCAAGGACTGTCCAAAAAAAAAGCAGCGGAGAAATCTAGAAAAGGGTTCCGCTTTCTGCCTTGGATGCTGGACGGCACAATTAGAAGTGCCTTCTTCGTGCACACGGCCAGCAACTACAAGCGAGACTAATCACGTTGAACATCCTGCTGTTTTGGTGGCTTGTGAAAAAACAAGCTAGAAGCTTTCATCTTGTAGCTAAGACATGGACCAACGTGGAACAGAGTTTGGCTTTTCGACAAGTCAAAACTGAAAAACGATTTCATCCGTTTCTGAGTATCTGAGCTGACCACACTTTCCGGCTGCAACGTGTTCGTGCAACATTCTGTGATTTCCCAAACGTCAATTCCGTTGTCCGTCTTTCTTCACGCAGATGAAATGGAGGGCACAGGTTGCAAAAGTGCAAAAATGACGAGAAGGAAGAAACGCTTGACGCTTGAGAAGATCAGAACCAAAAATATAGCTTGTGAAGAACGAGTGTCTGCGAAATCTGAAACCTTATAGATGTCTGAATGAAGCTTCTGAGCAGCAGATGAAGCGAGCATGGTTTTTGGAATGCTTCCAAACTCGGTTCCAACTCCGGGACGAAGTGCGTTGCACTCTTCTCCGGACAATGTTCAAACATGTTCAAACGTCAGACAGGTGGTGGACGACTGCTATACCACACGATCACTTCAATGTTGTTCTTTGAGTCGCTCGACGCGATTTAACTGAGGCTGGTCCCCCCCCCCGGCGTTTAACCCAGGTTTGAACCTGGGTTTGAACCTGGGTTTGAACCTGGCTTAAACCTGGGTTCGAACTTGGGTTCAACCCCGGGTTAAACCCAGGTTATAACCCAGGTTTGAACCCAGGTTTGAAACCCAGGTTCTAACCCAGGTTTGGAACCCGGGTTTAATGAACCCAGGTTTAACCCAGGTTAAAACCCAGGTTCAAACCCAGGTTAAACCCAGGTTCCAAACCCAGGTTTGAAACCCAGGTTCCAACCCAGATTTGGAACCCGGGTTTTAAAACCACCCAGGTTTAAACCCAGGTTATAACCCAGGTTTGAACCCAGGTTTGAAACCCAGGTTCTAACCCAGGTTTGCAACCCAAGTGTAAAGCACCCAGGTTTAATTAACCCAGGTAAAAACCCAACCCAGGTTTGAAACCCAGGTTCTAACCCAGATTTGGAACCCGGGTTTAAAAAAAAACAGGTGTAAACCCAGGTTATAACCCAGGTTTGAAACCCAGGTTCTAATAGGTTTGGAACCCAAGTTTAAAGCACCCAGGTTTAACCCAGGAAAAAACCCAGGTTCAAACACAGGTTAAACCCAGAAGAGCTTCAAG